ATTAACATGTAATATGTAGAATAACTGCACGTATCTATAGTTCTTTGATGCGCTTTTCTCATTTGCTTGAAAATGATTTAAACGCATGCAAACATATATTAAATATATTAATATGTTTAATTTTGCTAATTGATATAATGTAAAGTATAAAGATAATAGAATTCCAAAAAAATTAAGCTTCAATATTGAAATTGCATTTGCAGTTAATTATTGTGGGAAACAGTCATTTCTTTCAATTTATCTCATTAATTAATAATATAATTAACTAATAAAATATTTTAGTATTAATTATGTTTTTACATTTATATCAAGTATAATATATTTTATTAATTTATATTATTTATATTAAAATATTAAATATTATTTATTAAATATTATATTATATTAAAATATTAGTACAATAGATATGTGTGTATATACATGTGCATTCAATATTTAATATTTGAAATGAATATAATAAATAAAAAAAGATATTAGATATTTTTTAGAAATATTTATCGATGCTAAGTGGATATATTATTACGATCTGTCTACTATGGCGTCTGCAAAACCAACTACATGCAAAGAAGCCATACGGCGATGGGAGGAGGAGAATGAGCAAACTGCAGCTACGGCTACAGAAGTAATTTTAAGCTTTCAGTGGCCGCCTATAGAAAAGATGGATAATGCACTAGCAAGTTTGGTGAATTGTGAGAAGCTTTCTTTATCGACAAACATGATTGAAAAAATTGCAGGTAAAATTAAACGTATTACAAAATTATTTTTATAAACATTTTAAATATATTAAAAACATTCTAAGTGTTTAGAATGTTTATGGAATAAATGTTGCATAAAATTAAATAATGTATCTTCTTGTTGAAATAATTATTATTTCGTTGTTTTCAATAAATAACTATATAATATTAATTAATGTTTCTCTAGAGACCAATATATATTTTTCTCTTGATGTTTTTGGCATGTACATATACTTGCATAAACAAAAAATCTTTGAAATTATCTTTTTTAAATTCTCATCGTCATCTTGCATTGATTAATCAGCAGTTATTCATGAATTGATCGATTTATGTAAATCACGATACATTTTAGACACCGCATCTCTCTCACTCAGAATTGATGCATATTCGAGCTCGTGACAAGCATCGAATGCATAATGCATATCCAAGAGTGTGACTGTCTCAGCGACGAGACACAATCACGAAATGTAAATACGATTATGAATTTCATGTCGTTACAAATTGATGATACAAGAACGTGTTAATGTCTTTATTTGTTATTATTGATTTACTCACGATGATAATTAATGTCACTCTTCATTACAATGCATCATGTAATTTTATGCGATAAGTATTCAATTATCTCGATTTAAAATAATATTTTATCGAAATATCAAATTTATCATTTGTTACTTGTATAACATATTTTATAATTTTTATTGATAAGTGTTACTATATTACGCAAAAAATTTAATATTGATAAATTGTAGCAATTCTAACAATTATAAAATTATATATTAAGAATATATTAATGATTAAATATTATCAAATATTGCAAATTTAATTTAATGTTTTAAATATATTATTTATTTTTTATAGGCATTGGAACTTTAAAAAATTTAAGGAGTCTGTCATTAGGTCGTAATTTAATTAAAAGCTTTGCCGGTCTTGAACCTTTAGGCGATACTCTTGAAGAACTTTGGATTTCCTATAATTGCATCGAAAAGATGAAGGGAATTCAGGCGATGAGAAATCTTCAAATACTTTATATGTCTAATAATTTGGTGCGAGAATGGAACGAATTTGCAAGGCTACAAGAACTTGCAAACCTTCGAGATTTAGTTTTTGTCGGTAATCCGTTATATGAAAACCTCGAGGTATCTATTAATTAATGTTTTTCAGTAAATATAATAAAATATAAAATTCTCTTGTTTTCACATGAACTTTTATCTAGTAAACATAAAATAATTGTAATGTTACATTATTATTGTAATTTCCTATTCAGCAATGTAACTGTTACATGTGTTATATTACATTTATATTACTGAGTGAGAAATTATAATATATTATTATAATTATAATATTATATTACATTATAATTATAGTTATAATTATGATATTGATATAACATTATTATTAATTTACTAGTATTTACTAGGAAAAGTTTTAATATATTTAAATACTACAGAGAATGTTAAAATTTTTTAAAATTTTATACAAATTTTGGCAAAGTCTTATTATTTTTATATATTTTGCAGATAGAACAATGGAGACTCGAAGTTGCACGGCGTTTAACGAGTTTGGAGAAACTCGATGGTGATCCCATAATACGAACTGAAGAAAATCCAATCATGATTCAGTTAGCCAAGACTGACAGTTCATCGAATGATTTGCTCGATCAAAATCCTGCTTAATATTTTAAATATTTTATTTATTTTATATATTTAGCTTGCTTTATTATTTTTATGACAAAGTATAGAACAAGACAAGAATATGATATCTATTAAATCTAAAATGACTCTTACAAATTATATAGAATATCTTTTTAATTTTACATAAATGATATATTTTCAAACCAAATTGATAGACAATTTAAATTTTTATACATCTTGCTCCGCAAACTTGGAAATTTTTAATTATAGAAACTAAGAATATCTACATTTTAAATTCAGAGCTCATCAAATGTAAAAAGAAAAATAATTATTATTTTTATAATAAACAAACAATGCAATCTTTCCGTTTATAGGAAACATAGATATATGAATAAAAAACACAGGGTTAATAATGTTAATATATATATGACAGAAACTCTTTTAATAAATCTTTTAATAATAAATTTTTTGTTATATATATAAAAGTATTATTATATTGAAGTATTATATAACATTGAAGGAATTTTGTGTATGCCTATTTTGGACTTCTTGTGTCTAATAATGAATCGCATATTAGTCGATAAAGGAATGATGACTGAACATCTCATATCTATTGCTGAGAAAAGATTGTGGGAATCAATAAACTGTTCAAAAAATTGTTTCACCTGATGATTCTAATGCTCTAATGTAATGAAAATGTTATTTGTCTTTTCTGCAAGTCTAATTCTAATATCTTGATCGATTGCGTCAAGGATATCACAATAGAGTCATTACATGCAGTATTAGAGTCTTACATTCATTTTTACGAATATATAATAATTGCTAGCGTTCCTATATTTCCATACTTAGTTAAAATATAAACATTGTGTTTGATTCATATATCTATCTCACATTCCTGTCGAACATCACGATGACAGCTCTTGAGATATTCCGCCTCGGGTTGATTGGTGTCCATTTTATCGAATATATTTGTTTACGGCACTTTTGATGCAACCGTTAAAAAATAATTTTATCAACTCGATTGGATTTGTGATTGTGACTCTCTTCTCGTCCATTGAATTTTTATATTTCGAACAATCGTAAAGTACTTCCAATTTATATTAATAAAACTTGACATGTTACAAGAGTAACAGCGTTTTATTTTGTTTCGATTTATTTTATTATTTAGAATTATTTAGAATTTCTTCTATATGAATTTCTTCTATATTTCTTAATTTATTTCTTGTAATTGTTTTTTACACTGAAGATGACCACATTGAAGATCGAAACGTTTGCGAAAATGAATTTTTTCTGTAAACAGTAATATTTGTCAAAATATATTTAGCATTGTTATCTAGCTTTGGCACGAATAGTCCTCTTTTTACATTTTTGATTTATCTTGATTGAATTCTTGCTTCGATGAGCAGAGGATTTTTAACATCAATACTATATTTATTAAGATTTGATTATTATACGCAATTTGCCTTGATGAAATAACATCGGCTGTTAAATATTTTCCATAATAAAATTTTGTTTGTGTTATCTGATATTTATCAAGATTTAATTTACACATCTTCTTCTTTCAAGGAAGGAAAATCTATCTCTTTAGAATCAAACAAAATGAATTATGCAGATGTATGATTGATACTTTGATGTAATTTAATAGCTATTCAAGTTGTATCTTGAAATAGTTTATATTATCTGTACTGCTATCATTATTTGAAAATATCCTAGATGCTGGAAGATAAATAAAAAAATTCAGTTTTTTCAATGTTCCAAAAAATATATCTCTGAACAGCGTCGACTTAAAGGATTGAACCTATAAGATATTTTGATCCTCTAACAATAATTTTTCACTTAATTGAGTTTCGTTACTACCTGCAAGGGGCCCAGAATCCATATAAAAACGAACAAAATCTTTTCTGATTAACAGGGCTATAAATCCATGGTCAATCAAAGATATTTATTAATTACTCAAGAAAACATTTATATTAATTTATTCGTCTCATGATACAAGATAGATCGTACATACCTTTTGGATGGTTGAAAAAGATTGGAAAAGCAAATAGTAGAGTTTGATTGGATGTGATGCATGAAATATATTGATAATTAGATAGACGAATCTTCGAGGATTACTCTTTGTAATTGTTTTCTCTTTTTTTTTTTGTCAGTTCTCATATAAAGTGCAAAATATTAAATTACGCGGGGCACTCGTTCATATAATTAGTGTATTTTTGTTCACACAATTATATAACAAAGCAATACGTGCATTAGAAAAATTGACATATGTGCGTTTGATTGAGATCTTTTTTTTTACTTCTGTCCTTTCTTATGTCTTCAATTTGTTACAAGTTCGATTTGTTTGTATTCAAATCTTATCTTACATCAATAATTTGTCACTTGCTTTATATTATCAACCATATTCTAATATTTATTAGAATTCTGATATTTATTAGAATTTTATATTTATATTGAATTAGAGTAGACACGCAAGATTAGCTAAACAAAAGTATTAAACTTTCTTGGTATTTGGTAAACATAATATTGTTACAAATTTGTTATTTCGTGCTCTAAATAAGATTTATCGAGTATCGAGTATGAAAAAATTTATACCTTAGAAAATTAATTTTATTTTTAACCAATATTTAATTTTTTAGCCAATTATTTATTACAAGTATTTTAACGTATGTTACGTTAATCACGAAGAATTCGTCACCATTGCATCAGAGAATTGGAAAGAGACTACACAGAATTGTACATACGTTATATACGAGCAAAATAAATTCAATGGAAAAATTTGGTATTGAGAGCAATGTATACATATACAGAGAACGCTTTTCAAGCAAAACATATATTTAATTTTCCATTATAATTATTCGAAAGTGAAATTTATGTTTTTGATATATTCTCAAAATTTCGGTCTTCTTTTCCGATACTGAAGAGAGTACAGAGTCAAGCATCTGATAGAAGCGTCTCTGTTTTTGTCACATAAGCGGTCCAGCAAGAAAAAGCTGTGTTGATAATTTAATTCATCAGGAGAGCAAGTGATGAAAAGATAGAAAGAGGATTTAGTCAATGACGAGTAAGAAAAATATTGTATATCATATATCGATCTTCTCGGCTCAATTCGTGCCGTCGAAGCGACACTGAAAGCGGCGCGGCTGTTCTTCGGGGAGGAAAAGCATCTTATTTGAATTAAAAATATATTAGAACAATATAATCTTAATTTAATTAGATTAAACTTAACTAAAAAGTATATGTGTTTGAAAATAATCTTATAAATATAAAGATATCTTATAAATATAAATATAAAGATAACAGTATTAATATTCGATGTGCTTTGGATTTTACATATTCATTGATAATATATTTTATTTTCATTGAATAATTAATTGATGCAATCAATATCATATCTAAGTTAATCAGTAATATTATTATTCGTTGTACTGCATTGTTTGGCGAGAAATTTGTACGACTTAATACTTTTATTTGAATTTTGAAAGAAATAACTATTAAGTTAAAAAAGTACTAAAGAGATTTGTATTTTCCTCCCATCTTTGTCGTGAATCAATTCTACAATAACCAAGGTGGAAGTTTCCACAAAGTCTCGATGACTTCCTTATAGTTTAAAAGATGTGAAAATAATTCGACTCGAAGAAAGTCATCATAGTGTTGCACATATTTATATTCTTCATGGAAACTCCAATTTCTATCGGTAATTGATACTCGACAAACAAAAACCAACCGCGAAAGGAAGTCTCATTCTTTTCAGCTTACTTGAAAACATAAACACTCGTGTTTTTTCTAGGAGAATCCTAAAATTCTCGCGAGTAGAGTTGTGCGAGTTAAATATGTTCTTCTTTATATAAAATATAAAATAAAAAATTTTATGATCATTTCGGTGTCACTTCGAGCTCGACGAGACGACTTTTAAACATTTATCCTTAGCTACGTCACACTGTGTTTTACTGTTTTTTTGTGTGTTGCGTCGCGTTCTGCTCTATATCTGCTCTTTTTCAACACAAAAATAGTTCTGATATATTTCTCTCAATCCTCTTTCACTGCGCCTTTCCTTTTTTTTTCCTTATTTTTTTTTGATCCAACACTGATTATATTCAACACGATTTATACTGAAATAGATCTGACGAATCTTTGGAATGAAGGCTGGTAGAAAGATAGGCAGAAAGGTAGAGTGCGTGAGAGAGAGAGAGAGAAAGTGAGAATCGACGATATATCGCAGGGATGGACTTTCTTCTCTTTTTTTTCTCTTCGATCTTCATCATTGACTCTTAAGATTAGTATACAAGTCTTGATAGCGGCACAACCGCAATAATTTTCTCCCTTTGTTTCGTTCAGCGCGTAATGCGCTTACGTCGTGGCGAATCGTTGTTTCTGCTTTTTCACAAAGTCAATAGCCATTTTGTCGCCGACTCGAGTTTCCAATATTTGAAGGATTGGATGATCTAAAACAAAAACATATTTGATATGCAAAAAAAGCATTCATTTATAAATTATAATATAAAGATTATTCATAAAAAAATCAAAGAAAGAATGTGTAATATTTATATAAGCATTTAAATGTATATTCACCGAACGTTAATAGTGTCTTTTTTAAAAGTTATAAATATTATTTGAAATATTTTTAGATTTGTGGATTTATAAAGCTAGTAATGTTAGTTTTCTATTTTAAAATTTTCTATTTTTAAAATTGTATTTAGATTTAGATCAAATTATCTAAAATATAAAATTAAAAAAAATTCATAAATTATAATTTCATAAATCTTACAATTTGTCTATCACAATCTAATTAATTCACTCACGTCGATTTTTCTGGTGCATAAGCGGTAATTCTTGATGCTTGAGGCCATGAAAATTCTCTATGCTGGTATTTGTGTCGGCGACGCCAGGAATGGTACTGAGTCCTAGAAAAGCCTCGCCTGCGAAATCATTTGCTGTAAGAACGTCATGATCCATCACCGTAAAAAGGACCATTGCATTAGGATCACGACATTGCTCAACATTTACTGAACTGTAAAAAGTATACATATATATTTATTAAAAGTAAACATATTTTTAAATTATTGTCTAATATTTATCAAGCTTACATCTTTATATTATAATAATATATTACAATATTAATAAACTACTTACAATTAATAAACTTAATTGAAATATTTAATATGAAATTAAAATTAACATATTATTATATTATGCAAAATAAATATCAAGTTAGAATTAAACTTCTTGAAATTCAAGAATCAAATACACGTTACATTATTTACATTTGGTGTATCAAAATTGCTCTATTATTGAGTCACATGTTATAATAAACTCACAATTCAAAACATTCGTCAAACATGGGATTTAGAGTTCTCTTTTTGACGTTAGTTTGTTGCTCGGCACAATGCTCAAACATTCGTCGCGGTAACAATTCAATTATTACGAAAGGATCACTGAATCCATTCGGGTCTAATGGTATAACATCTCTGGCATTTATCACTTCGACGCAAAGAGAATCGTGATTCAAATAAGCTCGTACAGTTAAAACTCCATATTCATAACTAGTTGTGCTAAGTTGGTCCTAAAAAGTTAATATATAGATATATTGCATAATAATTGTTACAGAGAAATACTATATTTATATTATTATAAAATATTTTATACAGCCAAAATCATACATAAAATAATTTATGCAATCAAAAATATTAAAGAAAAGTTATATTTTTAAAGATATATATGAAATAAATGACTATTTCCACTTTGTCTAGGTTTTTTAAAATAAAAAATAATTATTTTTAAACTAAATTTAAATGTCGCATATCATACCAGAAGACGTTGCTGATAATATCGATCAATCAAAAATGTTGTGTCCATTTTATGATATTGGAGACGCTCTTCCGCATTCATGAAACTCTGACGACGTAATACTTCTAGAGGCAAACCCTTATCGTCAGCGTTGAAATATCTCACTAATAAATCAAGCGCTTCGTGTAATCTCTCGTAAAACATTGCTGGTTTATCCTATAAATAATAATATTTTTCTTTATTTTGCTATTCCTAATTCAAATTCACGCACACGCGCACGCGTGTAAATTTAGATGTGCAACAAATGCATACATTATACATATACACACGCAAATATCGTTAAATAATTTTATCATTTTAAAGAGTAATTTTAATAAGATTATTTCATTAAATAAAAAAAAATAAATTTGTAATAAATGCAATTACCTCGGTATTCCATCCATTTGATTGCCTAACTCACTAAGAATTACTTCCCAAATATCCTGTAGAACGCGATTGAAATTCGCAGCTAATAAAGCTGAGTTGAGTGCCACCAGATGTTCGTCTAGGTATGCCACAAGAGGTTCTATCGCTTCTGTAGTCGGTAAATTATCAGGTGACCAAGCTAAGTGAAACATCGTCTTTTTTAAAGTTGGTCTCATCTATATGAAACAGATGAAACAAAATTATTTAGAATATTGTAAACAAATCATCAGCTATTTTAATCTCTTTATTGTAGATCTTCATTGTGTATATAGTATACGATAGTACGACTTTTATGTGATTAAACTAAAAATTACAATTTCCAATGTTTCAATTTTATTAACAGCTGCTGATAGATATATAGCTGCTGATAGATATATAGCGATTATCACGACAATAATTACGCTTGCAAAACGTGGCGTTTCATTAAGCTATAAGCACACTGTGCACAATAATCTTTCAGAAAAAATAATAAAACGCTTGTCATGATAAAAAATGCTTATTGTGATAACAAAAAAATTATGTAGCATATTTAAGACAGAGTCAAATTATAACAATTATACAAAATTACAAGTTGAACTATTTGAAAAATCCAATTTAAAATTTACATAAGCAATCTTGATTCTTTTTCATTTAAATCAAGAGATTTGATCAGAAGATCATGAGATATTATCTCAACGTACCTTTGCCCCAATTCTCGAGATTATTTGGTTTATGAAGAGTAACATTTGCCCAGGAGTTTGCTCCAGTGGTGTTATTAAAGCATTTCGCCATTGTATTCGAACAGATTCGCCCGCTTGTGTCTCTAAAGCCGTTAGAATTTGCTCCACACGAAGTTCCTCGCCCAAGTCCAACAGCCATCTTCTCACATATTCGAGACCATTAACAGCTACACACATCTAAAAGCAGAATAAACTCGGTTAATTACCAAATTAATAATCGAATTAATAATTATCATATCTTCCTCATAATTTATTTGTTTGACACATAAAAACATTTCTATAAGATTTTATTTAAGATGGGAGAAATAACAAAAATTTTAAAATAAAATTGATAAATTTAGTAATTTAGTAATTTAGTAATTTACGTATTTATTAATTAGAATTTTCAATGTAATTGCAATTATAATAAAACATTTTATAATTTCTTAATGTTTATAAAACTTTTAATTATTTCTTTATTTATAATATTTTTATATATTTTATTATATATGATTTATTTGAAAGATATAATTTTTCTTACTTTATCTACATATTGATACGTATGTTTATTTTATATACACACGCACACACACACATACACACATGTGTGTGTATATGTATATATATATAT